TTGTTTGTTGTGATTGCTGCTAGTCTGTTGTACATCAACCAATTATATATAGTAACGGAAGCAAACTATATAAAGTCTAACCTATCTTTTGGGTAGATTTTAGACTCGGTTACATAGAAATTGTAGATGATGCGGAGTCTTAAGTCGTAGGAAACTGACCAAGCACAGTCAAATATAGGGAGGATACTTGACTAGAATAGACATGAGCTTCTTCTTATTTGCTAGCGATATTATTGATTATTTGTTACATTGATGAATTAATTTGCAATCGTAACAAATCAATCATTTTTTTAAACAAATATCACATTTGTTTTCCTTTGATTTGTTCCTATAACAAAATCATTCCTCTCAGTGCGTTTCATGTGTAATTTTTATCACCATTCAAAATATTTCCACATTAATATAGCAGTAGTTTTAACAGGAGTTATGCAATGCTTTATTAAAGAATAGTAAAACTTTTCTGATTAGAAATAATAAAGACTAATCATGTGTAAAATGATTTTGAATGTAAGAATCAAGAAATCTTATTACGCGCATCATTATCTATATAAGGTGTTAAAATAATATTCAGTATATATATATATATATATGGTAGATAGTACACATCATATTGAATAAAAAACCTTAGTGAATATAGATCGAAAGCTCAACTATTTCTGAGATATAAATATTTTTGTATGTTAACATCAATGAATGACTTGCTTGTTATATTTATTGAAGGTGTATCACATGTCTTTCTTCCATTTCCATACATACTTGACAGCTTCTTCTTACAGGATCTTACAGAGTTTTTTTGTAGAACGCAGTTTATAAACACTGAGGTAAACATCGCATGCGACACGTAAACGCCAGTAAGTCATTTATGATGTTAACATTCAAAAATGTTTATATCTCAGAAACGGTTGAGCTTTCGACCTATTCACTAAAGTTTCTTTATTTAGTACGATCTATAACACAGTATGTACTATCTATCATATAAATGCTGAATGATTTGTTTTAACAGTCTTATAGCTTTATTATTTTTATGTTATGACTTAATTATTGACGTGATCGATTTTCTGGTCAAAGATAAAACATTTCTGAACTACGAATAATTTTATTCAATTAAATTTAATTAAAAAAGTTCTTTACAGTTTTTTAAATTTAATTTAGGGGGGATTATTAGCGTCTCAGATTGATTGTATTGAAAATCCGAAGATTTCGGCGCACACAATCATATCTTAAATAAATTGATTTAACATTTATTATTTGAAACATCTAAATTTTGACTGTTCATTAGCGTTCTCTATCGTATTTATGTAAGATAGAAAATGTTTTATTTGAAAATATGAATGAAAGCAATTCAGCTTCATATTCGCTCTGCGAATATCATCGCGTATCTGTTACGTGTACATGAATTTGAATCTGTTTTATCAAATTAATAGAAAATTGACAAATCGTTATTTTAAGAATAAACAGACAACACATAAGTATATGTACTTTTGATAAAGGACCGTAAAAATTGTTTAAAATGTTGTCTTTTTAGATCTGTGCAAATATAAAGCATGTAATGACAGTTGTACATAATAGTCCTCTTACGAGGAGCTTCAAAATTTCAGAAATTGATGATTATAGCAGTAAGTTTGAATGCTTATACTTTCAGAAACAAAAGCAGTATTTTCGCGTAGCTGTGCGAAATTGGCCCGTAAACAAGTGAACTCGTGAAACTCATGATGTAAATGTGGTAAAAACGTGGCCAAGAGTAATATTTTCCTTCGTTTGCCGAAAAAAAACTTCGACTTATCCTCTGAACGAAATGGTATGTTCAATGAAATGAAAATATGATGTTAAATATTTAATTACGTTTTGTTGAATAAGAAACAAATCTTTCTATCTCTCAACTTGTATGTAAATATAGATTTTAAATTATTATTTTGCAAATTAGTGATGTAAAAATATTTTAGTGTATAAAATAAGATTGCTTAACTTTTTGAAATTTATAGGACGCGATGTCTGATAAGAAACATGTTATGAAAATAACTGCATTATTCTGAATATTTTGTTGTTTCTATGTTTGGAAAAAAATCCTTTTATGTATATTGTATGATATACGACATGAGTGAGAAAGGAAAATAGATTTTTAAAAAATTTATATTGTGTGCTTATTTGCTACGAGCAAATATTGAAGAAAATAATAATTTTAACTCTTTTTGCAATGTTTTACCAGCTATTATTGTTTTAATTTAATCGAGATACGAATTAAGATTTGGGAGGAACAAAATTAATAAAAATTTCTGATTGAATATCGCGATAAATAAAAAAAATAGAAAGAATAAGATAAAAATTGCTGAGAGAACATCACGAAATCAGTTAATAATTTGATTTAATAATATTACATTAGAGTAAGTAATCGTTACTATCTTGAACATAAAAAGTAATAATAAATAAAATTACTATCACAGTGTTTTATATTATATTACGTAAGATACATTATATATCATGTGGAGTAACACATACCGAACGTGCTGTATTATACAGCCATACACTGAAGTATCCATGTACCGTGAATATTGCCGTGATATAGCTGGCGCAATATGGACGAAAATATCTACGAAAGGCAAAGGTATATTTCTCCATTTTCCCTTTACCTTTCTCTCTGTTCTGTCTTGCTCGTTTCTATATTCCTCTATCTCGCCCGATGCGGCCACTCAGTCTTATTTGGAGAGACAGGTATTGCTTCCTATTTCCCAGAGGGACATTGAGTCAATTCTAGATCGGAGAACAGAGATCACGGAACGTGTAGAAGCAAATGTATGTCGGCCATTTTCGGGGTTGGTTTGGGGAGGTTGCCGGCAGGGATGCAGAGAGAAACGGATAAGAGGGGGAAGATGGGTGGAGTACCTTCGACGTATCCCAATTTCCACAAAGTACGAAATATGAAAGGTTCTCTCGGCAAATATCGCTGTCGCTCGAACGTGTTTCCTTCACGTCGCAGAAACGGAACTGTTCACAGGATGTTAATTAAATTTCTTACTGCTCCATAAAGTTTCGCTCGGAGCGGACAAATTTATTCTAGCGCGTTTCTCGATGCGCTTGGTCCCTGGTGATTTTTGTAATTTGTAAATTGGCGAGTGCGACGTAAAAGATGAGAATAGTTTGGGAGAGAGATAAAATAATCCTCTATAGATCTCCCAATTTCACAAAGTACAGAGAGAGAATTCCACCCGTACATAAATGATCGAATACATTTTTGCGAGTCGGACCTCGACCGTCGTCCTCAGTTATGACTATTTGCGACTTAAGAACTTTACTTTGTTCCAGCTCCAGTATTTTGGTAGCAATCGTGGCAGCTATCGTATTTTTATTACGCGAAGTTGGAAAGTACCGCGATTGAAGCATCTAGCGATCTTTTTGCCTATTCGCGGAAGAAAGAAAGAATTCTCTTCATATTTATGGCGACGTAAAGAAATGTGCAGTGATGGTATTTGTGCGACACGGCAATGAAATAACTGGCACAGAAAAACACGTGGCTTTAAACCTGCTATTAAAAAATTGCAATCAATTAATCTGCAAATTGAAAAAGTCGACACGGTTGCACCGCCGTTTTCTTATCTCGAGGTTAGCAGGTCATCGTGATCGTAAAAGCCACTCATAGACGTTTTTAACGGGAACACACGTAGTCGGTTGTACACAGAAACATGTGGCATTTATGGCATCAAAGCCTTACGGGGAATAGAGGCGGGGGTGGTAGTGGGGAGAAGGCGTAGCCAACCGAATTTAATTAAATTGTGTTTTGGATTCGATAAGAAATTACTTCATACGGCGCGGAGGCGCGAAGGCTACTGTATTTCGATTAGTAGAGCGTGCAAGTATCTATGATTACCAAACCATCAATATGTACGCGTGGCTGTTATCGCTCGGCCGGCCATTGAATATTATACCTTCGATTTGTCCTTCGTATTGTTTCCTTTCAAATATTTTGTTACTAAAAATATTAATTCAATAGTAAACAAATTTGATTGTACTGGAACTACGAGATCATATAATTATTGCAAATATTAATTATCTTTTTGTTATTATATATATATATATAAATAGTATATATACAATAATATAAAAAGATAAATTAATAGTTGCAATAATTAGTTGATTTATTTATACAAATTAATTTTATTGTCTACTAAAGTTATAAAAAAATGTATAAGAGTTAATTTAAAAATAGAATTAATTTAGTTATAATTATGAAACAATAATATAACTTGATTACTAGTTATATAATTATATTAATAGAATAATAAATACTGAATCTATGTTTATGTATGAATATATAAATCTATCAAGATAATATGTCGCACTGATTTATTAAGTAAAATATTTAACTCAATTTTAATAATATAATGAGTTATATTAATAGAGATTTTTTTCTGTCATTATAAAATAATGAGACCTTCGCTGTCTGCATAACAATTAATTGACACAACAGTTTCGATCTGTAAGGAGTATTTTTCGAGCAAGAAAATATGCTCCTATCGCCATCCGATAAGACGGCATAACAGTCCATAACTAGCTGCAATAAAGCTTACACTGAGAATAGCCGGCGTATCGTCATATAAGAACTGTTGGCCCGACACAATTTATTGCAGTGATGACTTAGACCACGACGATGGACATTGATATCGGATCAGATTCATCTGGATTTTGGTCTAATTTAATGACTTCTACTGTTTTTTGGCTGCACAAATTTATTCAATGATCACCATGACATCGGAAATTTGGCCTGTTCTCTCATCATCTCCGGGTAAGATTGCCAAAATATTGTATTTTCTTTATTAATTTCATCCAACGTGTAGAGATGAACATCTTTTTTTATTTTCTAATTTTGATCGAATCGATAAAAACATCGAGTAATACTACAATCACATGAGTTATTAAATAATACATAACTGACAAAGTGTGAGTTTGAGAGTATAAGGACTTTTGTAGAAAGATAAAGTTATATATTCTGCGAGGCACAGATGCAAGGCAAATAAAACTATAGCGAACAGCTGCAACATCCTTAATGGATCTTTCTTGGGATTTAATGTTTGAAAGATTAAATGTTAATATTCACTTACCCGTCCCGTGTAAGTTTTCTTCTTTGTAATTTTCTTCGCACGTTTGCGGTCGAGTGCAACTTTTGAAATAAAATAGAACTTGAGAAGCGAACCATTTCCAGATTTTCGCAAGATGACATTTCTTTAGCGTTTTTTCGCTCGTTTAAAAAAGGTGAGGATTTATTGACCTAACGGTATCAAGCGGCACAACAAAAAACATTTTTGAGAATACAGATATTTTTATATTATAGTATAGAAATTGTGTTAACTTCCTATTTCATTTTTTTTTTGTTGCGCCCACATCAGACAGGTATTCTTCTTTTGGAGAAAGGACTGCTCTCTTTTTTGTCCCATTTGCTTTAGCTACCGCATTCTTAAATGATTCAGGTTTATATTTTGTTCTACAGGGCAGTTGCTTTTTTTTCGTCAAACTGAAAAAAATATTAAACCAGAACTTCTTGGATTATAAATCTTTTCTTTTAAATCATACGTTGTGTAAATCTTCCTTCTTTTACCGTGCATTTTTTAACAAGACGAGAGAAGCAGAGTATATTTGCAAAGCTGAAAATAATGTAATAATATATAAATAAATAGTTGCTGTAATTAAAATAACTTATTCTGGAATTTATTAATTTGTTTTGACTATATTTTAACTTTGTTTTGGCTATATTTTAAATTATAATAACAGGTATGATACCTATTTGGCTTTTACTTAAAAGGCTTTAATATTATTCTTATCTTTGCTGGCCTGCAACACAGAAGGATGACAATATTTATGTATCTGAAATATCATATTTCTGAGACTATAAGATTTGATCCTACCCAGAATATCCCCGAGATATGCTCTGATCTTTATAGAAAATAGGGTCCCAGTAATTTGTCGTTGAAGCCATCTCTAGTATTGAAAGACGTCTGATTTTGACGTCCATACACATTTCCAATCACCTGACCGTAATAAGTTTTTTTAGAACCATCTCTACTACATACTGGAATAAGAAGAGATTCGCACAATTCTTAACAAGAAAGTTTGACGCACATAAATTTGAATTATTCACGTTTATGTTATATCCTATACAAAACTTTTTAATGAAAATATTTCCACTGTTAGTTATTTTAACAAAGCGTCTGAATTATTGACAAAATAATATAAATATGTAACTTTAATGTATATAATACAATTCTGAGATAAAACTAAATTCGAAACGACAATAAATAAGTTTTGTACAAAACCATGCAATTAGCCATAGAGAGAAATTGAAATGGATTACATAAAAAAATTAAATCGGTATTTTAAGAGAAACCACTGTACACATTTATTATTTCAAAATAAATCTTAATTTATTTGAAGATAATTCTTGATTCTCTCTTGTTTCAAATAAAATGCAAGCGAAGTGTTAGAATGTAAATCGAGTAAAAGGATGTGTGTGTGGCTTCTCCCGAAAATAAAATGGACCATGACGAATTTTACATTTTCTACTACAGTGGAGCGGAAAAATGCAGCAGGATCGATAGACTCGGTTAGCCTTCCATTCGGACGGCCGTGCATCTATATGTGTACACGCGTGTGTGTATTTTTGTCGCAATAGAGAGTCGAAAATGCCGGCAGTGGATTTCGAATTTGTCAACTTTGCATGCGCAATATTGCCGCGCGTTTTCCATATACGCCACTTGATTATGCCAATTTACTTTCATGCAGTTGTTGCATAGCCCCCGCAGTGGCCGTTGTCCGCGCGGAAGCGGAATATTATTTTGTGTTTCGGCTGTGACAGTGTATTGTATAAACAGCGGAGGTATGTACGACAGCAATGTCGGCGACGAAATTTCGGTGCTGACGTGCATGCGCGTTGGCCATGTATACCCAGGCCCAGTTCATAGCGCGCGCGCTGTGTGCGTTACGCGTTTCTGGTCTCTGGCAACGATCGTTTCTCTCGCACACCCAGAATTCGGCTGGAATGCGTGAAATGCTTTGAGAGAGAGAGAGAGAGAGAGAGAGAGAGAGAGAGAGAGAGAGAGAGAGAGAGAGTCTGACCACAGTCGTTATTCGATGTATGAAAAATGTTTCAAGGAATTATGCGAACCGTTCGTTGAAAGAAATAAAGAGGAAAGGGTAGAAAGAACGGAATAATGAAAGTTTAGCGTCCTGGTTTATTACATTGCCCAATTTATTTACTATGGTACCTGTTGGCCGATAATATTTTCACGCTGTTTGTTAAGACGCGGAAATAATGGAGGTGTTAAGGGAAGGCTTCACAAAGGAAGGATGTGATTATCATTAACGAGCGGAGAGCATAGGTTTTGGCATTTAGCTTACGTGAACTCGTCGATGCTTCGTGAAGTCGCTAAAACTAGGTCAAATCAATTGCACAATATCGATTTTCACTAACACTTTTCTTCGTTAAATGTGTTTCTCCGTTCCCTCCCACTTCGTGCGGTGTTTGCAGAGACTTTTTCGCTCATCTTCCCTCATTCAACAATCTCGATTTTATAAGGCCAATTTGATTTTTATCGTTACATTTTTAACGACAAATAATCATATTCCCTTACTTCAAAAGTGACATAACTCTAAAATTAAATTAAATTTTTCAGTAGAAGAAAAATTATTTTTCAATTTAACCGAAAATTATTGACTAATCAAATAATATTGACAAAAAGAATATACTTTTCGAAACATAATCAATAATGTTATTTTTGTTTCACAATTTTTAAAGAATTACTTTTTTTTAGTTGCGACAATTTTGATATCTTATAAAATTATAAGAGGTCTGGAATAATTGACCAGCTAAAATGACTAAATTCAAAATAAAACAATTTTTTCTTCAAACACCAATTAGGTACACTGGAAAAAAATTTGTTGAATTAACCAAATCTGCAAACAACTAAATGTGTTTAGTTAGTTGGACAAATTTTTTTTCTCAGTGTACCAAAACTGTCTTAACCCTAATATTCTCTGTAGAAAAGTCTCTTTTTTATTTACAAAAACAATGTATTATTTTTGTAGAAAGTATTGTAATCTCTTGTAATTATATCTCGTTGACATTTCAAAACGACACAAACGAATAGACTGTAAAGATAAGTTAGCTTGCTTTTGATGATTGATAGAGTATCTTTTTTTATATTTACATAACTCGAATAATAATTCAAAAATCACATTTTTTAGTTGTATTATTATACTTAAATAAAGGAACAATAAGTTTCTTTTTATTGGATACGTCGAAAATACGAGAAAATGCAGGCTTTGTTGTCTTTTCATGTAAATACATGAACTTGTTTAATACAGTTCGATAAAATACATTCCGGATGGGATGCTAATGAAACCTTTGCGTGGCAATAATTTTTCATTTTAAGATAAGAATCATCCACATGCTGGCATTGCACGCGTCTTGCGTCTTATGGTTCGCGTCTCTTTCCTTCTCATGTACACGAACCTGCGTTCACAGGAACTTATTATCCATTCGCAGCTTGCAATTCCATATCTTCATAATCGTAGATCATGCATAGCTTAAATAATTATCTATCTTGTATCTCTATGCAATAAAAGAAACTTTGATGCGAATGCTAGAGCATTATACGCGATAAAATATCGCATAATGTCTTAATGTTCGCATAATATTGTACATTATGTGCGGAGAATTTATAGATATTATAACATACGCAGGCGATTGAATTACGTTACGATATTACTAGATACGTTACGTCGACATCAAAAAGCAGTATTGATAAGTATTCAGATAGTAGACACAAAATATGTATATTTTAAATATCCGTAATGTGGGGGAAAGTAAAATATAATTATTTGATTAGCACTAAAATCACAATTAATTTAATATGTCATCAAGCGAACATATATTATATTATGTAAACGATTGATAAAAAAAACTGAGTTGCACTATAAAATTTTTATTTCAAACGGAATGTTTTATTGTGTTTGATCTGATTCGTTTATATGCATGAAGCTTCTAATATTGAAGGATACGGTAAATAAATGTGCAATATTTGTACGTTCGGTCCGTGCTTCTCGAAGGAGACGCCAAATAAATTGAAAAGACGCGATACAGTAACATTCAGAAATGAAACAGGGGACATGGCGGCGTCTGTTGCATTCAGCCATGGCTGCTCGAACGCCTTTTCCATACTTTCGACTGGGTTATGCTCTCGATTTCCTTTCCACCGCCTCGCTCACGTCTACTACTTTGTTTTCTTGACGCGCGATACCTACCTCTAAGGCGGGATGCAGGTGAAACGAGTGAGTGGGGATGGAAAGCGATTGAGTTGCCTTGATGGGTGCATCTCGACATAGTACACGACCGAAGGTAGAGAGTATGGAGAGCATGGAGCATCGTAGCTCGACCTGTAAACACTGAAGAACCATTCCTATGTATCTGGTGTGTCTTAAAAATCGTATTTCTTTATTTAACCTTTAAGCGATATCACTATGAAGAATATATTGGAAATTTTTTTTATGAATTTTAAGTAGTAAAAAGCTAAAATTATCCATATGATATAACGTAGAAGGAAATACCGAAGGAATTAATTTATTTTGCAAAGTTAACAAGGTTGTATCATCTCGAGGAAACTGATAAATTGTTGTGTTGAGTTGTAATTTTTTTATAAATCAGGATTTTGGAATCCTGATTTATAAAAAAATTGAAATAAACCTGTAACTTTAGTTTTTTTTCTAGTCTCAGCTTCAAATATTTTATTCGGTTCTATGCTCCGAGAATCTTTCTTTCGAAGACACCATGTGTATCTTGTTTTGTTGAATACATGAAAAACCGAAACTTCTCTCGTAAAGCCACGACGAGGTACATCTAGCCTGACTCACGTTGCTGTACATGTATCTGAAAGTAAAGCAGACACTTGTAGATGAATGTGTGATGTACTCTTGCCCGCGGCGGTTTTATATACACTGCGGAGTTATGCAAAGTATCAGTCATGTAAAGTCATGTTAAGGATTCGAAATACTTTTGTATATTCGAGATTATTTCGAAATATATTTTTGAAAAATATTATGTCCTGAGAAAGTATAACATTGTTAGAATCAAATTGAATTCTAAGAACATTTTTCATCATTAAAAATTTAAATTAAATTTTTCTCTTTTATATTTCTAATTTCTTATACAAAACTGTTTATTTGCAACAGCATTAACTTTTTATAATTTTAATCGCAAATAACAATTCTCTGGGTGGAGTGAAATAAAATTCAAAATAATGCATTGTATTTAAAGTGGTTGGTCTTTCCCTGGTAGTACATTTGTTTTTTTCTTGGTCATACATACATCTTGCATTTAGAGTTTTGCGTATTCACGCGTACTCTTCATGAACGTGAAAGTTGTCCACTTAGATGCAGTCGCACTATAACATTACTATTCGGCCTTCTCACGCCGCGTCTCTTCGGGAAAACTCCTTAAGCAGTAAAGTGACGCATGCACTTTCGTAGGGATATAAAGCGAAACGTGTCGGTAAAAGAATTGCCGGTATGTGTTACTACGCCGATACGACTGGACTGTAAAGCTAAATATGTCAAGTGGTATATCAAAGTGGCGTATGTTTATGAGAAAACTAAGTATCCATCAGACTACGTTGGGAAAAAAAGTATTACGAGTGGTTTTTGATCTCACAATTTTAACAAAGATTAGCGTAGAACAATATTATTGTTTTCCCATGCAGGCAACAATTACATAAGAAAAAGATTATTTTCATGTAACGCGCATTTGTACAATTGGTTATTACAATAAATATGTAGGAAATAAAATAATTTAAAACAAGATTTAACTAGATTCACGTAGTTCCAGCATAGATTTTCTAACATAGAAACGTCGCATCATACAAGAACTGCCAAAAGTTTCTGAATATATAATTTTATAATAATTTTTTTGTCAAATTTTTTTATAGATATTATAAATTAATAAAATTTTTATTATAATCAACTTAAGAACGTGATATTTTACTAGATTATATATTTATTTGTATATTAGATCTTGTATATTAGATTTTTATCTTTTAAAGATTTTTTTATCTGAGCGATACTTCAAAATTATTCATTGGCCAAAAACATTTGGCAGCCATTGTTTGTTAATAAAATTTTAATAAATGTACATATATATGCAACGTAGTTGAATATAAATAAGGACTAAAATTTTGAAACATACATACTATGTACATATTGTTTTAAGTATCTACAATTTCTTAAGATTCCGTTTTTTAAAGTACTTTGTAATCTCAAATATACTAAAAAAATAAAAATTTGAAACTGTTAGAATATAACAAAATCGTCATTGAATTATCGAAACTAATTTGATACAGATTTATAGGACAGCCTCTATGTGTGCAAACCACAAACGGTAGACAATGTGTTTGTCCGCACTAGTCGTAAATTATCAGTGCTCGGTGATAACAAATGCAATCACATGATTGTGCTCTTGATCCAATTGTTTTTATAGGTTGACTCTTATCATCAAGAGCCAACGATAATTGAATAGCAGCGCCACTAAAAAAGTCCAACTTAAATACTGCAAAAGCTTATGTGAAACAATTTTCCATTGAAGCATATTTCTATTGAAGACAGATAGAAGATATTCTCAAAAAATTAAATGAAGGAAATGAGAGAGAGAGAGAGAGAGAGAGAGAGAGTGTGTGTGTGTTTGTGTGTGTAAAGTGTAAAAAAGTAAATTTAATTTATAAATGTATGTTACTGCAAATATTTATTTACAATTTGAAAAATATTTTAAAGGAAGGGTTTAAGAAGCTATTAGAACGCAAATATGAAATGTTCTTGTACTGAAATGCAAATTATTCAAATCTTTAACAATTTCTTTTTATATTTAATAATAATTATTACGATTTTACATGTAAGATTAAGGTAGGAATATAACAAAGTATGGCGAATTGATAGCTTGTACAATAAATTACAAGTGTCCTACACAATATGAACTTTCAGCGGCTACAATTGAAAATTATGAGACGTGATTGTAAATGCAAAAATACAAGCATAGAAAGCAAAACCCATGATATAAAGCGAAAAGGATAAACGTGAATGCGTACACGTGCCTAATCTGACGATCAAATCGCTTCAGTTATCCGGTACGAAGAAATTAATGACACAAAACCAGTTCAATCTCAGTTCTTATTACCACGGATTCTCATTTGTTCATTTTGCTTCGTGCTGCAGAATTTCTAGGACAAGTTTCCACTCCTCTCACGAATTGTTCTCCATTGGTTTATGTTTACTGTAGCAAAATAAAGTATGAATATTGATCAGCAATATGAAAGCAATGTATCTTTATGATGGTAAAGAAAATATTGATAATATTGATATGTTTAAAACAATTGATATTTATAAAAGAAAGCATTTTGTCAAGTTTTATAAAGAATATTTTATTAGTTATTATATCAAAGTATAGTTATTATATTAAAATCTCTTAAGAATTATCGCTTTCAAGTTTTGAAAATTATTAAAACAAGAAGCTGTAGCACAGGAAAAGCGCAATTTTAATTAAAAGTGAGAATACAACGAACTACTCATGTCCACCAAAGCCTAACGCGTGCCTCATACAAATTGCCTTATTGTTTGTACGTGAGCGCACATTGTATTCGTGAGCAATGTCGTGTAACGGTGCCAGCTCTGCCATTGCCCTTTTCAACGAACTGAGACGTTTCACTTTTTTTCAACTTGACGACTATCATTTGACTATCGTTAAAATTACTCTCCGTTCATTAAAAACTCTCGTAATTACATTGAATTATGACGACGTACGATGATGACTTACGATAGCTACAATTACACGCAGCGTAAATAATTTCGTGAAGTGTGACTGTATAAGATTGCATGGTATTGTATAAGAGCAACACACAGACTGTAATCTACTTCGCGAACTGGAAATAGCTTCGTTAATGCAGTTTTTGACCACAAGTAGTGCCCCGCCTTGACCGTGGCTTAAGAATGTTGCTCGATTACAATGCATCGCGGCTGGGCTCCAGGTAATCGAACGAAAAACATGATTCGCGGGAACAGCAGTAGGCCGCTGATCACGATCACTTTGTAGTCGAGTGGGGGCGAGTGTGACACTAAACAGGTAGGATGATCATGTAAAACCCCGTGAAACTTACTGGCAAGCTGAAACGTGTCTAACTTCTGCATTTGTATCAGGCTTGAACACGCGTGCTTTGGCTGATAAAAATCTGCAATTGTGATAACTCATTGTGATACGTAATGATCTTTGTTCTTCATACATATTATAGTAATTAAGTGCGGTATAGTGAGCTTAAAAAATGTACGAAGTTAATGTAAGTTCTCTCGCTTTTTGTTTGAGACTTAAATATATACATATATATATATATAATATTTCAAATATTATATTAAAATTTTTGTAATGTTTAATATAAATAATATAATAAATTGCGATAAAAAAACTATATTATATATAATTATCATATATTTTTTAAACATAGGTAGTAAGTTGTATATAATATTTCGCCAAATCCAAAATCCAAAATATTATATTTGCATAAAATTGATATTTTCATAATGTTTTTTTCTAATTGTTACAGATGTGGGGAATATAACAGCAACTTGACGACTTAGCATCTTATGGGTAAGTTGAAATCTTTTCTTTTATGGGGAAAGACAAAGACAAAGAAAGAATCGAAATTATCGTTTTAACAATCAGTTCATTCTTCAACAAAAAGTTATTGAATCGTTAAATTAATATCTATTTATTACATGCTATTTATTAAGTTAGAATATAAAAATGTTCTTAGAGTTATAAAATATTTAACTATTGATTTATGACACTGCATGTAACAATATGTTCTTAATATTGTAATTATTACCGAAAAAGTTATATGTATGGTTGTATAGTTTTCTATTTATCTACAATTTTCTATTTTTTATTTTGTCATTTAATATAATAGAACTGGGCTGTCGCATGGGAATTCTGAGTGTTCATATATATCTTATTTTTTGGAGTCTCGGTAGAATTCTCGGTGTAATCTGATGGTTTATGCCAATCCGATGCTAGACCGGATAAACATAAAACATGAGACGGAGAATGGAAAAGCATATAACAAAGAAACGTTCTAGCAATACTAAGAAGCTAGGGACTAACTCGCAGATCCATGTCGCTACGTTTAGTAGGTATACGTACGCAACAAAGCTTTCACCTTTCCCTTCACGATTCGCCATTGCTCGACGCGATATTTTATTGCGATGTGCAAAACCTTAAGTCCGCTATTTCTGAAAGTAATATTAGAAATTATTGTATTAAATTTTTACAATGTTTTCTAATTTTTAAAAACTCGATGTTATATATTGTTTTCACGAATACTAATAATAAAAATGTACAATATATATATTTGTAAAAGACAAATAAATTTTAGGGGTAAATAATTTATAATACGAGAGACTAACGTTCTCACAGTTAAAATGATCGAATAATAATAAAAAATGAAAAAAGGAAGCTAAAAGCTATGCAAAAAGAAACTCAATGTAACAAGAAAGATCAATTTTTATGACTATAACGAAACTGGATATTAACCATGAGACCTTCGGCTCGTTCTGAAAGGATCTCGCAATTCAGAATAAGACATATACCTTTAAGATAGATAGGTCAAGGAGTTGAAAGGAGGAGGAAGGAAGTAGGGAGTTAATGTTTGTCTCTATGTGTGTGTATGTAGATCGCTGTCAGTAACATCGAAGAGAATGGAGTATATTGCTATACGCAGCATTTTCTTGAAAATATCTTTCTGAAGATAGCTCTATAAAAATTATTTTACGAGGTAGAAATAATTGTCCTCCGCGATAAATCTTTGATAAAAATAAAGAACGGCAAAAAGAGATTTGAGAGAGAAATGAAAAAAATTCAATATAATAAATTCCGTCGTGTGTGTGAAGAAAATTCATCACACTAAGCTACATTTCATCCGAATTGAAACCAGAAAAAAATTGAAAAATTGAAATTAGTTTGCTTCGCTTATGCAAGATTCAGAAAAGAATTACTTCAGAAACTTCTGTTTAATTAAACTGAAAGAATGAGAACAGTAATTCTGTTTTAATCCCTAATGTAAAAGATATTCTTGCTTGAAATTGGATTGAACTGGAGAATTCTAATTACTGACTTACTTGAGATATATATATATATATAATACTTGCAAATAGGATATTTATTTCAAAATACTTCATTATTTCAGATTAATTCAAGACTAACTAATAATTTAAAACCCGTATAATGGAAACAATAAGTTATAGTTTTCCTTAAATGTAGCTATGTTAAACAGATATACACACATACAGTTATATGTATGCAATAAATTTAAACTGATTTGAACAAATATGAAAACTGATAAGAACGAAGGTAGCTGGTGTTATATAAAAACGTAAATTTAGCTGATGTTATCAGAGATAATTATAGAAACTGAATAGCGTTAAATTATACGTAGTATTTAATGCCAAGTGCAGTTCATGTGCATTAAAGTCTCTCTTTTCAAAAGAGTTATTTCAACATTATCAGAAAATCGTGTCTGATTTCCAATACAAAATGTCATGGCGGCTGTGTTCGTCACAGTGTTGAGATTGTACCACCGGCATTTCCCCCGATCTGGGAAACCTCGTTGGGCTGGGTCCTCCGAAACGTTGACGTGCTGTACATGTCGGTACAGTGGGGTTTCGCATTGATCGGCAGGCACTAAGAGAGCTTCGCTCTGATTGGTCAGACTCCACCACATTCCTGCATTCAGTATACGAGCAACAAGGATACATCCATGTTCGTTGGTTAAAGAAAGATGAACTGTGTATTGTACGAGAGAGAAAGAGAGGTGACTGTCGATTTATAAGATTGAAAGAAGATAAGAGATTGAAGAGAGAAAGTCTGTGATGCACATGAATAAGAGTGAAAGAGAGAGGGACAGAGGAAAGAGGAGAGGAAGAAGAAAAAAATCGTAAAGAAGGAAAATAAAAAATTGGAAACAGAACTATCGATCTTAGAATATAAAAGGCTAGTAAATAATAATCATATTATATTAGAAACATATATTATTATGATACAAAATTCAACAATGTTATAAGTATGTAAATCTTTAAAATTGTAATTTATTCTAAGTTGTTAATTTTTTTCAAAGCGCTTTAACTGCTTTTATTTGTAAAATAATATCTTTGGCAAAAGTTTATATTTAAATTCTATTCTTGAAAGAAGAGCCTTCTTCTATTCTTTTCTTCAACTAGATTATAGTCTTCATCTTCCGTCTTTCTCATTTTAACTAGATGTTTGTGTTTCTCCCAATCTTTATTAATTTTTTTTTTTATTATCTTATGCTGTACATGTATATTGACCTTATGGTCAAGATTTTATAGAAAACAGTGTGCAAATGTCATGATAGGCTTTGTGCTATTAAAGAAGGCATTAATTTCAGAGAATGAATTGACTAATTAATTGGTACTTACATCAGCAACTCTCTTTCTTTTTGCCTTCTCTCGTTGGAACATTCTATTTTTTTTCCATTTTTATTGCTTCAGTGGAATTCAATATCGATTGCACTTTAATATCAGCTATGTTCTTCAAGTTGCAGAATATATTATAATATATTTATGTATTAGTTATATGGTAATTGAACATTTCATTGTATTAGCAGGATGGTACTTTTGTGTATTTAAAAATTACCTTGTCCGATCAGTTATGCAAATGTCCGAGACGCAAATATCCGAGATAGGAATTTGATGAAGATACAAAGTGAATGAGATGTCTAAATTGTGCAATTATAGATTTACAGTATCGCTTCTTAAAACTTTCTATATTATTAATGAAGAAATAAAGATAGATTTTTATTTCTTTATCTTTTAGTTTAGTATCATCTCATATTATATCTTTTTTAAATCATACGTAACTAAAACATTATGTTAGAAGATATTATAATAATAAAGCTTTATTGTTATCTAAAAAAAATCTTTATATCAAAGTATTTTACGTTTTGTCTAAAGTCTTTTATTGATTAGACAGCAACCAACGTGAAACCCCTCGATGCATATGGCGCCATCTTTGGAGAAAATCTATAGTCAAGTTTCGACTAAGTCTCCCCTCTTTCTCTTTAACCCTCTACCCCTTTCAGAACTGTATGTGAGAAACAGTGGATGGAATGTGGCGAAAGAGGCAGGGGAAAATCAGGGTGAAGTGGGTTGAGACCAGGCGAGACGGGTCAACCAGTCCAGACCAGTCGGTCGCGCCCCAACAACCCTGTCCGACCCCTGGAAACCGGACGAATAAGAGGGGGGGAAGACTAGTATCGATCCAAACGCTCATGTTACACGATTCGTAATCATTTTGAATTGCACGCCCGGGCTCTCGTTTTAGATAGCCGCGGACCGCTGTCTTGTCTGAATATATTTTAGTTAACTTGAGATTGTTTGGAAGTAGCATGAAATATTATATGTAGATATATATATATATATATATATGTACATAAAATCTGCATATTAATCTCTTCTTTCTCGATCTAGATTTGTGTTATTTACATATCAAATAAGAAATATGAAATTTAGCTTCTTTGTTAATTAAATAAATTGATGAAAAATCTATCCTAACATAATTATATTAATTTAATATTTTATATAGATATTTTATACGGTTTCTGTTTTATCAAATACTATATCTTAATAAAAATTTTTTCATATAAGAATATATATAAATATATGTAAACATATACATAATTATGTACGAAATATGTCCACATATATGTCCATATATTCTTTTTTTATAAAATTATTGTTTAATCAGAAAAATAATAAGCAGAAAACACAATAATTTTTGCATTAATATATTCAATATATGTTTTGATATGAAAAATTTTGTATCGAAATTTAATTCCGTAACGAAACTCTACATTAATAATTTCAATCTCATTTATATATTTAATTTTAAATATAAAATACAAATTACTAAATTATGAAAACATTATGAAAAAAAATCTAACGTCCGTTCGTGAATTTCTTAGAAACACTTAACGTCGGAAACTTTGCAAACGCTATAAATCTATAAGTGCCCTTGAACTTAAACTTCGCCAATGTACTATAACATACGAGAATACATTTCTACGTCAATATATACAACAGACTGACATATCTCACACTCAAAATCGATTCGTGCCACGAATTCTCGAGGACTTTTTCGCGTATCGTGTAACATGGATATAAGTAAAAGCTTGGGCAACTGGCAACTAGATGGCGGCACAAATCAGTCGCTGCCATGGAGCCTGAGTGGTCCAACCAAAGCTCGAATCACGTTCTCGTAATCGAGGACATGGCGGCAGTATGGCGGCAGAATGTACGTCGTTGGTACTTCAAGCACGATTTTTTCGTAACACTCTGCCTGAGAGTTTTTTTTCACATATTTCACTCAGTCCTAATCTATCTATAAGTCGCATGAAAATAAGACCAATTTTCACTTGTTCGATATTTCTTATTATAATTTTAGATTTTCTTATTATAATTTTAGCTTCGATTTATTTATTAGTTTTTGTTTAAGTTTGCTCCACGAGAAACTACATTTAATGTCTATTGAGATTGATTTATACTACACACAAATAAACTAATCGAATCTGTGATATA